ACTTTGAAATCTTCGGGGGGGGGGGGGGGGGGGCGGTAACTTTCTCGGGGGGGGGGGGGGGGCGGACACTGTTAAAAAGTATATATTTTCTATATAAAATTATATAAATTCCCCCCCCCCCCCCCCCGAAGAGATGCCCGGAAGAAACTCTGGTTAAAACTTAAATAACGTGGCTATGTGTTTTGTAACCCTTTTTTAGGCCTTTTTTAGGCCTACATAGGGTGAAGTATTTTCGGGTAATGATATTTCAGGTCATAAAAAATACTTTTTTTTTCTCATCGCAAAGTGTTTACGAAAAATAGAAGCAACGAAATGTGTGCGAATTACCGAAAATAAATTTTTAATTATAACTATGAAGCCGACAAACTGTAAAATTATCTTTTTTTCATCAATTACTTTACTGAACAATTACCGGACAGAGTGAGGCATAAACGTCATTGATTGATTAATAATCAGTTAGGAGCTCATCGAGGACTAAATAAAAAAAAAATATTAAGGCCGCAGTCCAAATTTAAAAAGTAAACATAAATGTTGCTTCACATTAAATATATCGAAGTTCAATTCATTACAGGTTTTTATTACATATGCGTTCTTTAAAACATTAAATTTGTAAAGCTTTAATTTTAGTTATTTGTAAAGCATGTCCTAATCCATGTCTACACACAGTCCGTTAATTCGCGTCGATGTCCTTCTTATTATAACACAACTCTAATTTTAAACAAGCCATAGCCTGAGTTATCGACGTAAGGAATTAATCTTCTGTTACAGCATCGAGTGTTAACCTGACACTGAAAGAAACCCCTAGTTCCGCGGACATAAAATGTGGGGAACAGGCTAAGTACAGGGCAGACAGCAGGTTGGTGGATTTGTTCTGCAACATGAAGGTCAAGGTGATACAAGTCACGCTGGACTTCGGGGCTCAAAAATCTGTTTGCTCCGTGTACGTCAGTGGAGGTAAGATAAAAATATACGCCCATGGTATAAAAAAAAATCTGTTTGCTCAGTTGTACGTCAGTGGAGGTAAGATAAAAATATACGCCATGGTATAAAAAAAATCTGTTTGCTCAGTGTACGTCAGTGGAGGTAAGATAAAAATATACGCCATGGTATAAAAAAATCTGTTTGCTCAGTGTACGTCAGTGGAGGTAAGATAAAAATATACGCCATGGTATAAAAAAAAATCTGTTTTGCTCAGTGTACGTCAGTGGAGGTAAGATAAAAATATACGTCATGGTATAAAAAAAAATCTGTTTGCTCCGTGTACGTCAGTGGAGGTAAGATAAAATATACGCCATGGTATAAAAAAAATCTGTTTGCTCCGTGTACGTCAGTGGAGGTAAGATAAAAATATACGTCATGGTATAAAAAAAATCTGTTTGCTCCGTGTACGTCAGTGGAGGTAAGATAAAAATATACGCCATGGTATAAAAAAAATCTGTTTGCTCCGGTGTACGTCAGTGGAGGTAAGATAAAAATATACGCCATGGTATAAAAAAAATCTGTTTGCTCATGTACGTCAGTGGAGGTAAGATAAAAATATACGTCATGGTATAAAAAAAAATCTGTTTGCTCCGTGTACGTCAGTGGAGGTAGATAAAAATATACGCCATGGTATAAAAAAAATCTGTTTGCTCCGTGTACGTCAGTGGAGGTAAGATAAAAATATACGTCATGGTATAAAAAAAATCTGTTTGCTCCGTGTACGTCAGTGGAGGTAAGATAAAAAAATATACGCCATGGTATAAAAAATATGTCAAGAAGAAAATATAGCGACATGGTGTAAAAAAAATCTGTCTGCTCTATGTACGTCAGTAGAGGTAAGATAAAAAAATACCGGCATTGTGTTAAAAATAAAATGTTGGGAGAAAACTCAGTATACAAGGATGTGTGCAGGTTGCCCGAAAAATGTTTTGCGCTAGAAATATAGTTGTATAAGGAAGTGAATTCTTGTTTATTATGCTGCGGAAAATTCTTTCATTTGTTTAATTTCATTTGTTTTGTTTCATTTAGTTAGGTAACATAGAACACATTTCTGACACGATTTTGCTGAAACCCTTTAACCAGTCGATACATCTGACAGGCTGATTTTGGTCTGATTTTCTCGCAGGAAGAAATCTGGCCCTGAAAACAGCCAACCTGGCAATCCAGCAATTATTCAGACAGTTCTGGAACCTTCGACTCGTCTTTGGCCGTGGACGGGGACACTAGCGGGAACTTCAGTCACCTGTCGTGTGCCCACACGGGGTCTAGATGAAGCAGACGTGTGGAGAGTTGTCCTCCCCCGCCCACAGGACATTTACACCTACCTGCTTTACAACAGGGGTAACTCGTGTTTCATAGAACATTTACACCTATCCTGCTTTACAACAGGGGTAACTCGTGTTTCATAGAACATTTACACCTATCTGCTTTACAACAGGGGTAACTCGTGTTTCATAGAACATTTACACCTATCTGCTTTACAACAGGGGTAACTCGTGTTTCATAGAACATTTACACCTATCTGCTTTACAACAGGGGTAACTTGTGTTTTCATAGAATATTTACACCTATCTGCTTCACAACATGGGTAAATGGGTGTTTCACAAAACATTTACACCTACCTGCTTTACAACAGGGGTAACTCGTGTTTCACAAAACATTTACACCTATCTGCATTTCTCTTGTTTCACGGAGTGGGTAGGGGTGGGGGGTCGGAAGGGGGTAGGGTGGCTTTATTGCAAAATGAAATTTTATTTGACTAGGCCACGTTAAGTTTTGTTGTAAAATGCACCCAGACTTCAAACCCCATCACTATGTTTTACTTGCACATTGTCGTGGTTGAAACAGACCAGGTATCGTGAACGACTGACCAACTTCACACTGACCAGCTACAGCAACAACAACACCGCCGTGTTCAGCTACAGGGACACCAGCACCAGAAACGACACAGCTGTTTACACGGTGACCAGCTGGACACCCCACGTGACCTATGTGGAGATTACAACCTTGGTCATCTTGACCCTATGTGAGGTGGAACTATTCGGAGGTCAGTTGACTAATACACTGTATCTTCCCTATTATTGATCATATATGAGGTTGAACTATTCGGGAGTCAGTTGAGTAATACACTGTATCTTCCCTATTATTGGACCATATATGAGGTTGAACTATTCGGAGGTCAGTTGAGTAATACACTGTATCTTCCCTATTATTGACCATATATGAGGTTGAACTATTCGGAGGGTCAGTTGAGTAATACCACTGTATCTTTCCTATAATACCTTGATAGCTTTTATAGTTCGTAGCATTGTTCTCTAATAGCAGAGCTTTCCAATAGAAATGTAAATATTTAAACTATTTAACTGAAATATTAAATCGTCCTTGTTATGCTTATTATAAAACCAATATGATCAAAGCACTGACATTACATATACAGTGTTTCTTCCAGACTTTTTTCCTCGGGGGGGGGGGGGGCACTTGAAATTTTCGGGGTGGGGGGGGGGGTGGGGGGGCGATAGACTTTCTTCGGGGGGGGGGGGCGGACACTGTTAAAAGTATATATTTTCTATATAAATTTCATTTCGTTCGGGGGGGGGGGGGGCGGTAGACTTTCTTCGAGGGGGGGGGGGGGGAATGCCTGAAAGAAACTCTGTACATATAGTCCAAGAAAAATTTACCGTAATAAAAATTACTTGCCCTTTCTGTAAAGGTAACCAAACATAAGACTAGTAAAACAAATCAGTCTCCTATATATAAGCTTAAATCGATACATCTCTACCATACCACAGACAACGGACTGTGGATCTACAAAGTACGGGCTGGAGTGTGAGAGGACGTGTAACTGTTTGGACAAGAACCAGACGTGTTTTTGTGGCTACAGGCGCCTGCAGGTCGGGCTGTGCTCTAGGATACCACGGGGAGGACTGCTCACTAGGTAAAAACATTCTAATGTGTCATGTGTAGTGTTGTGTGTTGGCCGACCTGTGTTGGTCGACCTGTATTGTTGTGTGTTGGCCCGACCTGTGTTGTTGTCTGTTGGCCGACCTGTGTTGTTGTGTGTTGGCCGACCTGTGTTTGTTGTGTGTTGGCCGACATGTATTGTTGTGTGTTGGCCGATTCTACTATCTCGGCGTAGTGTCACGATTATAAACAAATCCTAACTTTTTAACTTGAACTCTCTTTAATAGGTATGTAAGCAAAAAAAAAAACATATAACATACAACTCAGTTGTCTTCCTCGTGTTACATATATAATTTATAGTGAATTGAAATCACATAGATAGGCGAAAAGGGTATAGATAGAGCAAATATAATCATGATATAAAGATTTGTGATGTATGAAAGTTCTCTTATAATTTATTAATGTTACATTAATGTATACAACGGTACAACAATGGAAGGTTTTCCTATCCTAAATTAGATACAATTTTTAGACCTACAGCAAATCACAAACACGTCACATTTTGTTTGGACAACATTTTTCATGTCTGTGTTGTTACCATAGTTAGGTTATCTTAACACTCGTCAACAAGTTTACTTTTGATTATATATCTATATCTATATCTATATCTATATCTATATCTATATATATATATATATATCTGTATATATATATATATCTGTATATATATATATATATATATATATATATATATATATATATAGATATATATATATATATATCTGTATATATATATATATATATATATATATATATATATATATATATATATATATATATATATATATATATATATATATATATATATATATATATATATATATATATATATATATATATATATATATATATGACTACACAGTGTGTGATGCCACATTCTATGGATCCAACTGTGAACAGAGATGTTCATCCAACTGTGACCAGCAACTGTGTGCACCTGTAGATGGCACCTGCTACAGGTGTCCTGTGGGGAGGGTGGGGCCCTTCTGTGAACGTGAGTAGAACTCTAGCATAGTACACATCTGTGAGCGTGAGTAGAACTCTAGCATAGTACACATCTGTGAACGTGAGTAGAACTCTAGCATAGTACACATCTGTGAGCGTGAGTAGAACTCTAGCATAGTACACATCTGTGAACGTGAGTAGAACTCTAGCATAGTACACATCTGTGAACGTGAGTAAAACTCTAGCATAGTACACATCTGTGAACGTGAGTAGAACTCTAGCATAGTACACCTCTGTGAACGTGAGTAAAACTCTAGCATAGTACACATCTGTGAACGTGAGTAGAACTCTAGCATAGTACACATCTGTGAACGTGAGTAAAACTCTAGCATAGTACACATCTGTGAACGTGAGTAGAACTCTAGCATAGTACACCTCTGTGAACGTGAGTAGAACTCTAGCATAGTACACATCTGTGAACGTGAGTAGAACTCTAGCATAGTACACCTCTGTGAACGTGAGTAGAACTCTAGCATAGTACACATCTGTGAACGTGAGTAGATCTCTAGCATAGTACACATCTGTGAACGTGAGTAGAACTCTAGCATAGTACACATCTGTGAACGTGAGTAGAACTCTAGCATAGTACACATCTGTGAACGTGAGTAGAACTCTAGCATAGTACACATCTGTGAACGTGAGTAGAACTCTAGCATAGTACACATCTGTGAACGTGAGTAGAACTCTAGCATAGTACACATCTGTGAACGTGAGTAGAACTCTAGCATAGTACACATCTGTGAACGTGAGTAGAACTCTAGCATAGTACACATCTGTGAACGTGAGTAGAACTCTAGCATAGTACACATCTGTGAACGTGAGTAGAACTCTAGCATAGTACACATCTGTGAACGTGAGTAGAACTCTAGCATAGTACACATCTGTGAACGTGAGTAGATCTCTAGCATAGTACACATCTGTGAACGTGAGTAGAACTCTAGCATAGTACACATCTGTGAACGTGAGTAGAACTCTAGCATAGTACACATCTGTGAACGTGAGTAGATCTCTAGCATAGTACACAGCTTAAACTGCTACATGCGCTATCAAAGTACAATTAAAGTCGATTAAAAAAATAAAAACCTATTTTTAAAGCAAAAAGTAAATAGCAGGCCAGAGGCGTAGCGACCCTTCCCGTCGCCCGGGGACAAACTTTTCGATTTGCACCCCCCCCCCCCCCTCGAGATTTTGATTTGCACCCCCCCCCCCCTCTCAAACTTTCGATTTGCACCCCCCCCCCCTCGAGATTTCCATTTGCACCCCCCCCCCCCCCCATCAAACTTTCGATTTGCACCCCTTCAACCTTTCTTTCAATTTATTTTTCCAACCCATTTTAGCGCCCCCTAGGGTCGGCGCCCGGGGACATATGCCCCCCCCCCCCTCGCTACGCTACTGTAGCAGGCTACTTCAAAAGACATGTATTAAAAATTATTTAAACAGGCCTACATTAAAATAATACTTTAAAAATATTTTTGGCTCACATTGTGCCGTGATAAATACTATCTTTTAATTTCATTCTTAAAATACATTTAAATTATTTATGTAACACAAACACATACAAACTGCACAGCTTATAATAAACATCTTAGTTTGGTGTTCGCTACATGTTGTTATACTATATAGAGCATTAGGCCTTTACTGTCTTTCCTTGAATGTATAATGTCCAACAACTTTCGCCTTACTGTCCGCTGTTTTAGCGTGTCCAGCAACATTCTACGGACAGGCCTGTCTACAGCCCTGCAGCAGCAACTGTTCTGGTCAAGTATGTGATGACGTCACCGGCTCGTGTGTCCAATGTCTGTCGGGGTGGATGGGGGAGTTTTGTGATCAGGGTAGGTTTAAGGTTTATGGTAGGTTTTGTTCGGTTAAAGTTAGGGTAGGTTTTAGTTGGGTTATAATTAGGGAAGGTTTTAATTTGGTTAAAGTTAGGGAAGGTTTTAATTTGGTTTTAGTTTGGCTAAAGTAGTAGGTTAAGCTGTCATTCTCATGTAGCTGTAACTCACTCTACACATTACAGCATGTGATGACACCAATTGGGGACCCGGTTGTAACAATGTGTGCTCGCCCAACTGTCTTGATTCAAAATGTGACGTCACCAACGGCTATTGTTTGAAGTGTAAGCCACATTTGACTGGACCTTACTGTGATGAAGGTACTTGTAGAATTTTTCAATCTTGCTAGAAACAGTAACTATATAGTTACAATATAGTAGACTTTTTTCCACTCTAAAGGTTTACAACTCAAATAGTGTTCATGATATAATCAATTTAACGGTTGTATCCCTTTGACCGAAAACTGCTGTATTCTTAAAAAATCTTTTCGTTGTCGTCTGTAATGAAAGGGGGGGGGGGGGGGGGGTGGGAGAAGAGGGGATGGCGACGTCTGCATCATGTACGGTTCAGCTCAAACATCTGATGGTTAAATATATAACTTTATTTGCTGCTGCAAGTCTGCAAGTACTATTTGGTAAACATTGTTTTTGTGCACAGGGTTAGACAGATTTACCGACGGGATTGGAGTTGGTGTGGGTATCGGCATTGGCGTCATGTCGTTTATTGCTCTCATCACTGTGGCCATTTTCTGTTTGATCCGACGTTACAAGGACACGTCAGCAGATGGGAGTGGTCTACACGATGTGTCGGCCATGTATGGTGGCACATCAGGTGGAGCTATAGACACGAGGGTGACGGCTGAACTTAGAGCTAAAGGTAAGACACCAACAGGTGGTTTCAGAGCTAAACACGGTCATTATTGATTTAAATAAGAAAAACGAGTTAGCAAAAGTAAAAAGTGTCCTACACAAAAACCAATATGACGTCTTTATTTTCAGGTACCCAGCAGTTGACCAAGTTATCCCTAAAGACATCAGAAGAAAACGCCATGAACATTTACGAGAACACGACAGTCAATACAAAAAAGAACACACATGAATATGTAACCGATGAGAACACAACAAAGAACACATATGAAAGTTTAAACACCAACTACTCAAACATGACAGAAACTCAATATGAAGCACTTTCCACGCAGTCGATTGATGAGAATATATATTGTACATAAGATGTAAGAGGGGAGTTGAGTCATGTTCGTTTTACCAATATTTAGGTGTTTATATCTTATATATATATATATATATATATATATATATATATATATATATATATATATATATATATATATATATATATATATATATATATATATATATATATATATATATATATATATATATATATATATATATAATATATACTAGCTGCATACCCGTGCTCCGCCACGGTAAATCTTTTATAAATGTACCAAGTTGGGAACAGAACAAAACTAAACACAACACAAACACAACACAAACACAACACAAACAAAACACAAACACAACACAACACAAACACAACACAAACACAACACAAACACAGCACAAACACAACACAAACACAACACAAACACAACACAAACACAACACAAACACAACACAAACACAACACAAACACAACACAACACAAACACAACACAAACACAACACAAACACAACACAAACACAACACAAACACAACACAAACAGAACACAAACACAACACAAACACAACACAAACACAACACAAACACAACACAAACACAACACAAACACAACACAAACACAACACAACACAAACACAAACACAACACAAACACAAACACAACACAAACACAACACAAACACAACACAAACACAACACAAACACAACACAAACACAACACAAACACAACACAAACACAACACAAACACAACACAAACACAACACAAACACAACACAAACACAACACAAACACAACACAAACACAACACAAACACAACACAAACACAACACAAACACAACACAAACACAACACAAACACAACACAAACACAACACAAACACAACACAAACACAACACAAACACAACACAACACAAACACAAACACAACACAAACACAACACAAACACAACACAAACACAACACAAACACAACACAAACACAACACAAACACAACACAAACACAACACAAACACAACACAAACACAACACAAACACAACACAAACAAAACACAAACACAACACAACACAAACACAACACAAACACAACACAAACACAGCACAAACACAACACAAACACAACACAAACACAACACAAACACAACACAAACACAACACAAACACAACACAAACACAACACAAACACAACACAAACACAACACAAACACAACACAAACACAACACAAACACAAACACAACACAAACACAACACAAACACAAACACATCACAAACACACACAAAAACGTACCGCCGGCGGACGCGTCTGATTCAGTGAATGACTATAAAACTGCAGCTTGTCCACAAACCGAAAGATAGAATAATAATTAGTAAACACTACGTTCAGTTTATTAAATAAATAAATTGCAGTATTTAAAATTTCCGTGTTTTACGTATGATATAGCACTTTATAAATTCATGCATTTTTTTCTTTCTTTAAATTACACATTTTTTACAATAGAGTTTCATGACTTACACCTTTGCGCACCTAATGAGCGTGATGACACGTGTATAATGTTGCGGAATAGTTGATTAAAAATTATCATTAGTAAACAGTACGTTCAGTGAATTAAATAAATAATAGATAGCCTTTTATCAATCCATCTTAATTATGGGATCCGGACAAAAGGCCGACATGGACAAAAGGCCGACACGGACAAAAGGCAGACATGGACAAAAGGCCGACAAGACCAAAGGCCGACAAGACAAAAGGCCGGCTGCCAAAAGACCGACATCCAAAAGGCCGACAAGACAAAAGACCGACTGACAAAAGGCAGACTGCCAAAAGGCCGACAAGACAAAAGGCCGACAAGTTTTATAAAACAACAAAATACAATTACAGGCATATACGCTGTTTTTAATATACTAATTTAATGTATAAACGTCCATCATTTTGATTTTCACAGCATGTATGTGTTTAATGACTAAATCTTTAAACAAGGTTACAATTGTTTCCTTAGTCGCTCTGCAACATGTGGATACTCCGTTTCTAGACTAATCAAAAATTCCTGAAAAGCCCTCTCAGGCCCAGAATGAAATAAAATGTCTAGAAAAACACGGGTTCGCTCCCTTGGTGTTTTCTCTGCCCTAACTTTATGACGATCATCTAAACTGATGACGCATTTAGAAAAAAGATGGTCAATTAAAAATTCAGCGTCTATTTCCTGAAGTAAATACAATGTCTCCTTCTGGAGTAATTTAAAATGTTTGTCTTGTAGCTGGCCACGAACTGGCTTTCTTTGATTAACAGTTTCTGAAAGGAATGAAATGCAAAAATGATTACACTTTACCATACAGTGGTGTATTAATGTAAGCTCTGATTATGGGGGGGGGGGGGGGTGGTGTCTAAAACCCTTTTTCTAGCCCTGAGTGTTTATAGTTGTGAAAAAGAACCTATGAAACAATCTACTATAGAATCTATTCCAAATTCTTTTTTCTATAAGGTGCCTAAATAGCTGAGTTGATAGTGTACCTAATACCACGCCCGTGGTGCGGGATCTAGACACACCAAGTCAAACCTATTTTTAATATTTTTTTTATGTGAATCTTCCGATTTTAGACTATAAAGAAAGGAACTACTTCATTCAAATTTGATTTAGATCTAGATCTATAGATCTACTCATCAAGACGTACGCTATGAAATATATACAATTTTATCGGTCAAACTAACACAGATTACTTAAAAACAACATAATGGCCATTGAATAGCCAGATTTTTAACGGAATCATTTAAGCCGCTTAATCAGTGTGTGCCTGTGTTATGTTAAATGTGTCGGATTTTTAGCTAGTTAGTTATTTCTTTGCTTTGTCACTAATATCGTTCAGTGTATAGTAAAGCACATTGCGTTTTGACCAATAACTATTTCATAAATTATTTTTCTCAAACAAGTACAACATTTTAAAATATATAGGCCTATAATTCACGTGAAACGGGTACCGATGGCTAGTTATGTCTTTATAGGGCTTGTAAGTCTACGGTCTCGGAATCAACTAGCTGGCAAGTACGAGAACGAGAAGTTGTGACCTACTTAAAAGCTTTATAACGAGACAAGTTGAAACCCTCAAGGGTATACAATGACCAACGGCTGGATACAAACCAATACATTAGTGCTAAACGTGGTATCTTTATACCCTTTAATGCTTTTTATTTTAAGCTTTATTCATTGACACTAGTGCTTAATCAAGCGTTAATCTATCAATTGATTTTTTTTTTTACAAATTTATTTATAATACCGTAACGCCGCAGCTACATAATCGTACACTGAAGTTCACGGTCCCTTGACTCTCATAAACTACACACGTATTTTTCAACGTTGTTTGACTATATGTGTGCGAGAAATGTGGTTGTTTGGACAACGTGTGTGGCGTGTTTGAACCAAGTGTTCGTAACAATGGTTCTATGGGAAATGTGTGTCGTTTTGTGGCAAGTTGTAAGGCAGAGAAAATGTGATCGTGTGATCATGTGTAGCAACGTAATGAAAAAATGAGTACCCTTTTATACCTGAGGTTTTCGTGACAGATAATGTAGAGCTCACCTGTTTCTCTGTCTTCAGATACATAAAGAAAAGCAGAGTTTCATAGTGTTTCTTAAATAAATGAATAAGAAAAAATGCTTATGCTTGGGAAATGAATCAACAATTGTTTGAAGCTCTATATTAAAAAAAATTAAAAGCTGTAACAAAATTGAAAAAAAAAAACAAAACAAAACAAAAACTGCTCAATATGATATACTGTTAAAATTAAAGACATCTATTGCTACTGTCTATATATATTTTTTACAATTGTTTTTTTAGCCTATCTGCAACAAATGGATACGTAGTTTCTAGACCAGTGGTTCCCAACCTTTTTCGAGTGGCGACCCCCTTTTATAAAAAGTAAGTGACCCGCGACCCCCATAGAATTAAAAAGCCGAAATTAGTATGGAAATTAATAAGCACTAAAATAAGATTTTCTAGTAGACTTTCAATATGAACTACTCTTGATAACTATTTTAATAGCATGAGTAAAATTGCATACTATTCACTAAACCTTCGTGGTTAAGTTTTTAATTAAAAAAATTTTTTGTTAACGCCAACCTATGTCGTTATAATTATCTTAATATTGTTTTTAATCAGAGAATAGTGTTGAAAATATATTCTCGAAAAGTCAATCAATTTTACGTTTTGATATGAATGGTTAATACTACACCAACATTGTGTCTGCAGTTTTTCATCTTACTCGGAATCATTCTGCAAATCAAAGAATTCATCTTGTAATTCATCGTGAATGCTGGCAACATCAAGGGAAGAAGAGAATGGGTTATGCGTAAATGCAGATTCTTCTTTTTTCATCTCAGAGAAATAGCGATGCAGTTCGTTTTCAAGAGATTCATGATGCCCAGAAATCGCTTCTTTCAAAAATTGTATTATCTCACAATCAGATTCATCTACCACACCGCAGAGTTTCTCAAATTTACAATATTTCCAAGATTTGTTTTCTTTACCGATTTTGCAGCTTTGATAAAAATGCCCCGAGATTATCATGGAAAGTTATAATATTCTTTCATTTTCCCTGAAGCTTCGGGTTAAGTTTATCTTGATGTTCGAACATATCTGCTAGGTATGATACTCTCTCCAACCACTCTATGTCGTTTTAAGTATTCCAAAAAGTCTTGTTTCCTTTGCACTTCCAAGAACAATTTGATTTCAGATTTCAATTCAAAAACACAATTTACAACATTTCGTTTGACAGCCAGCGTACTGTAGTGTAGAAGAGCAGAATCTCGTGATCTATATCAATGTTTTTGCTCAGTTCTTTGAAGCTCCAGATTTTATATAATTTACGACGTATACTAGCAATGGACTCTTGATGTCGATTGGTTAGGGCAGTGGTTAGGAAGCTAAATCTTTTCTGTTTTCTGAAAGCCCGATTTTGAGCTAAACATAGATGGAGCACCATCCGTACAAACCCCCACAGCCGTTTTAACCCATCCAGTTACAAAAAAGGTATTTATTTTCTCCCTGCTATCTTCACAAAACAGCAACTCTTCTTTGCAATCATCCGCATGAATATAGACACAGACCAGCAACTGCGAGCACGAATTCACGTCTGTTGATTTATCAACTTGAAAAGCAAAGAATGGTGAAAGCTTAATTTTGATAAAAATGTGTTATTTAACATTTACGTACATGCAGCGTTTGATGAGATTTTCTCCTATTGTTTTTTTTTTTCTTGGCATTTTCTATCGCGACATCATTTGATGCTTGCACTAATTCTGGTGAAAACTTCCTGTTCGATCAAGTCTCTGGCGTTTGCAACTAGCTTCTTACCGACGAAAGAACTCCATATATTTTTTGGTGTGTTCCGAATGACTCGTCTCAAATGGCGATTTAGTTTTGAAGATTTCATAGATTCGTGACTGAGAACAACTTTGTACAGTGCGCTTTGTTTCTTCTCTATTACATGTCCAGTGATGTTAATGAAGCCGAATTCCAAAAATTCTTCTAAATATTTATGTTTTGTTTCAAATTACTAAGGTTTAGTATACCAGTTGGCGACCCCCCAGAAAGACCTTCGCGACCCCCAGGGGGGTCGCGACCCCCAGGTTGGGAACCCGTGTTCTAGACTAATCAAAAACTCAGGAAATGCTTTTCTAGGTCCAGAATGAAACAGTATGTCTATAAAAACATTAGTTCGCCCCCTTGGTGTTTTCTTTGCCTTAACTCTTTGACGATCGTCTAGGCTGATCACAAATTTAGAAAAAAGATGGTCAACTATATCAGCAGCATCAATTTCTTCCAATAGATATGACGTCTCCTTCTGAAGTAATTTACGATGTTTCTCTCGTAACTGGCCACGAATAACTTCCGTTTGGTCTGCGTCTTCTGCAAATAAAAAATATGTATCAAAACCTTTCTAACTATAACAAGCTTTAAAATGCAATGGGTATAAGAAAATATATCAAACTTGCTTTGGTTGATAAAAGAAATGGTTGCCAAAATCTGAGGTGATTTTATGATCGACCAATGCCTTTATTAAAAAAAAAAAGCAAATCTATATATATAATCCTTTTCATGGGGATAATGCGAGACACCACGTAAACGATTATCGTTCTTCACGAGCTACTGATTTGAAGCAAAATATTTTTAGTCGCAGCATTGGTAGTGTTGAATTCACAAATTATGAATTACTAAAAAGTAGAAAATAAAACAACAAAATAGCGGCGTATGCTTACGGCGCGGGTCAGTTTGTTAGTTTTATTATCTTATTTTCAATCGATGCAATATCTAATCACCCATTAGAATCAAGGGCGAAGATCCTACAGAGCCATAAAAGAGGCTGACGGTAAATTCCAGTGCTGTTCCAGACGAGCATTTCAACGTCGATAGCATCAAGGTAGAGGACAACATACTGACCAGAAACTCATAGGTTAGGGTCCCAAATAGAACCATCGAAGCAGAAAGAGAAGATGTCGTTCCGTTGCTCGGAGACGAGTAGAGAAATCAACATCATTGTTCGGTAAAAGTTGAAAATGCTGGCAACAGTGGTTCGTGACCTTCCCGCCTTAGTTTTATATGCAAACAAACAAATCGTTGAGGCCCAGACATGCGTAAGGTATAAGGACTAGTTTGGAATAGAATTATCAAAGTTCAAGCAAAATATATACGTGTGGGTCTACAGTGCTTCGTATTAGTATTTTTTACTAAGGACAAGAATTGTCAAAAAAATATATGTAAAAGAATAAGAAGTGCATTAGAATATTAAAACAGCACTAATTAGTATGTCAAAAAAAGTTTTTTGAAGAGAACAGACGTTCAAGAAATAAAAAATAAAATATTTCGTTTTGTATTTTGGCAAGTTCAGCGTATTACAACTGGCTTATGCGATTATCGTCCATCATATGGGCAACCTTAGGAACATAATAGCTCAAATTGTGGTATTTAAAACATACATACACAATCATCCCCAGAGGATGCTTAATGATGTACATGGTAACTTTCGGAGACTAAAAAAAATAGTACAAATATGCAGTGGCGTAGCGAGGTCGGGTGTCACCGGGTGCGGCACTTAATGGTACCACCCCCAGAGGCGTAGCGACCCTTCCCGGGGACAAACTTTCAAATTTTCGATTTGCACACCCCCCCCCCTTCAAACTTTCAAGTTTTTCTCTATATATTTTGCTATTTTTTGCCTTGGTGTCACCCCCCTAAATGGTGTCACCCGGTGCGGTCCGCACCCCCCTCCCCCCTCGCTACGCCTCTGCAAATATGGCTTTAAGATTACAATAAGCTCACAAAGACGCATACAGTGATTAAAAGAGTACCTTCATAACACATCGTCACAAGTGGACCATCTTCAAGTTGTTGAAATCGAGTTACTTGTCTGTATTCAGAGGTTTCCACGATTATATTTTCAAAATCTTTATAATCACAGCCACTTTCAACTAATGATTTTGTTGTTTTTTCTTGTGGGGTTTGTAATGATGGGGTATTTTTTGTATTTTCAAAAAATGTTAAATTATATTCACTAGTGATAGTATTGTCGACCATGTTATTCTGTTCATTTGCAGATATTTGCTTTGCTATATTCCCTAGGTCACTGGCAATATCCTTATTCTCACTGTCATTTTTAGTTAAAAGTTCTACAATTGTTTCATGTTTATTTTTAACGGCCAACATTAAAGCGGTTGATCCATTTTTATTAACAGCATTAATGTCACTACCATATTTGATTAAAAGTTCTACAGTTTTTTTATGTCCATCTTGTGAGGCTATCATCAATGCATTCCATCCATTGCTGTTAACAGCTTTAATATCACAGCCACTTTTAATTAATAGTTCTACAGTTTTGTCATGTCCATTTTGAGAGGCTTTCATTAAAGCATTAGATCCATTGTTGTTAACAGCTTTAATATCACTGCCACTTTTAATTAACAGTTCTACAGTTTTTACATGTCCATTTAGAGAGGCTAGCATTAATGCATTCCACCCGTTGTTTTCAACAGCCATAATATCACTTCCACTTTTAAGTAAACATTTTACAGTTTTTTCGTGTCCATCTTGAGAGGCTAGCATTAATGCATTCCAACCATCATTATTAAGAGCCATAACATCACAGCCACTTTTAATTAAAAGATCTACAGTGGTTTTATGTCCATTTTGAGAGGCCAACATCAAAGCATTCCATCCCTTATTTTCAACAACGTTAATATCACAGCCACTTTGAATTAACAGTTCTACAACTTTGTCATGTCCTTCTGAAGAGGCTAGCATTAATGAATTCAGTCCATTATTGTCAACAGCTTCAATATCAATACCTGAATTAATTAAAACTTCTACACATTTTTCTTGTCCCTCTGAAGAGGCTAGCATTAATGCATTCCATCCATTGTTGTCAACAGCTTTAATATCACTGCCTTTTTTAATTAACATTTCTAGAGTTTTTGCATATCCGTTTTGAGAGGCTTGCTTCAACACATTAATTTCCATTTTTTCAAATAGATTTAATATCACTGCCACCGTTTTAAGCTAACGTTCTACTGTTGGCAATTCTGTTTTGAGAGGCTATCTTCAATTCAGTTGAGTCTGACCGTATTCAATAAAATTCAGTTTAACATATTATCTGCAATACCCTGGTAATTATATGTTCTTATAAATAAAGCTTCTCTATTAAAAATCAAATATTTTATTTATATTCTTGCTTTTATATATACGTTACGTTTTAGTTTTAAAATTCAACACTTTTTATAGGTTTGATTAGGTCTTAAAGATGTTTTTTTTTGTACCTTTTAAATAAAATATTTTGTCGAATATTATTGGAGTTTAATTATAAACTAATTATATTTACATTCAAAAGTAGGCCTATTTGTCTCTATAAAAAAAAACGTTTACTTATTCACACAAATTCGTTTAATTCTTAAAATATAGAATATGTTTATTAGACACAAATATAATTTTAACGTCGCATAACCGAATTACACAAACGATCTAAGAATACATGTGTAATCAACCACTGACAACGGCACCACTAATTTATCAATATGACCTAAATTGATCTAGGACTGGCTTTTAAAAAACAAACGATCTTATTGACAGCACAGCAAACCAGCCTAACGTAATGTGCAGGCATTAACATGAATAATTATCGATTACATACAAGCAGACCAATCAATCGATACTGTGCTTATCGCACATCAATACATTAGTTATTTGCCGAACTAAACTAATCGAAATAAATTGAGAGCTGAATTTTAAATAACGTGTATAATTTATGGATTACATGATTTGTGTGACTGTAATAATGTAAGCATGGGGCGGTGTGGTCGAATGGCGAGTGTTCGACTGATAAGTAGAAAGTCTCGAGTTCGAATCCAGGTTTTAAGTCCTTAGAACGTTATTGAATCCAGTCAGATTTTATGGGTACCTGACTCTCATTGAGAAAAGTAAAGGAGGCTGGGCATAGTGCTGACCACACTGTCCCTTCTTATGTCGAGGTCACAGAAACAGATGAACTTCACTTGCCCCTGGACCCGAAAGGTTCGATAAGGAACTTCACTTCAATAATATAAGCTATTATTTGAAAATTGCCGGTAGTAATTTTGGTCATATCAGTTTTTGTTTACTTACATTAAAATCAAACGGTCGTATTTTTTTTCGGAGGGAAAGGGGGGGGGGGGGGGGAATGAAGGAGTTTATTACATCACGAAACGGTAATCTTTATTCCGATGACTAATTTAAGCTGCTTCTTTTGTTTCAATGTTTATTCATGCAAGGTAACACATTTGCGTATGGTAAAATATTTTTCAAAAATCTGAGTTTATTTTATCAATAGAGCATACAAGAGACAACAAACGTGAGAATTGTTGTGTTTAGGTAATAGCTCTTATTGTCAACAATTTACTTCCAGTAAATATATTTAGTTGCACATATAAACAAATGATTATGAATTTTTTGTCCTCAGCCAAATAGGACTTTTCTTTTATTTACTGGTTCCTATTGATGGAATATTGGTGATCTAGGCCACTTCGAAATTGTTCTGTCCATAGAAGTGTGATAGAACACCACCACAAAGCTTTAGTGAAGGGCTGTCACGAAATTATGCGATGTGCTTCTTTTAGGTAAGAAAAATACGAAATGTTTCAAAGTAATAATCCTCGGTAAGCGAAAAATATAAACATTTAAACATAATGCTCTCTTGATTCTAGCCTTTTAGGTTCTCGTGTACAGAGATTAGAGGAAACAGCGGCGTCACTAGGTCGGTTGTCACCCAGTTTGGTACCTCAAGGTGTCACCTCAAATATAGAGGGTACTGGTGGGCTATCTGTAGAGTAAATCGCAGTAATAGGTTTCAAATTATTCTGAATGATGTGTGCTGACAAAACAAAATTGTGGAATCGATTGTGAAAGAAAAGGTTTTTGTGCTTTGCAACTGTTCGATGATATGCTGTGCTGTTTTTCTAACAGCGCCGAGCTGTAGATATTACGCGTATATTTTTTTTAAACATACTAACGTGCTAAAACATCTCGCTACTTTATTCTAATATATAAAGCTCAATTCTGTATGTAAAAATAAGTTTGTTTGTCGTTGACATACTTAGACTATTATCGTGCTCATAGTCTAAATTTATGAGTTAACAAATTACTATTGAAAGTGTTGGGAAATAATTTTCATTTTTCAAACTGATAGTAATAATTGTCGGCATGTTCATTAAACATAATTTTTAAAAAATAACAAAAATTCTAATTATGTCTGAAAATTATTTATATTTAGTCCTTTAGCACTTACTTCCCTTTGATAAATTAGGAAAACACAATTACTTCCCTTTATAAAACATAGCATTAGTGGAAAAGAATTTACTTTTTATTACTTTGTTTTGGTGTTGGGAAAAAAATAATTACATAACTAGCGGGGATTGATCAAGTGCAAATGCTGTAGGTATTTTACGAATAAGCTTGGAGTATTATAATTGTTCATTTGGTTTGGTTTGGCACCTACGTTCGTTTAAGTGAGTGCAAAAGACTATGAATAAGTTGGGGTACTGTAGTCGATTATTAAGCTGAAACAGGCGATTCTGCCCCGGGCTAGACTGTGAGCACTTTGCGTTTATGTTCGCGTTAGGGTTTTCTTTGTGTTTAGGTTGGGTTTGCGTTAATGGTTGCGTTTTGATTTGGTTCGTTTTTGTTCTTTCTTTTTTCGTTTTCGTTTGTGTTTTTTTCTTTGGGTTTGTGTTTGTATTTGTGTTTGTGGTTGGTTTTGCGTTTGGATTTGGTTTGTTTTCGTTTGCTTTTTCGTTTGTGTTTTTTTTTTTGGGTTTGTGTTTGTGGTTGGTTTTGCGTTTGGATTTTGTTTGTTTTCGTTTGCTTTTTCGTTTTTTTTTCTTTGTGTTCGTAGTGGTTGTGGTTGGGTTTGTTGTTAGGTTTTTGTTTTCGTTTGCTTTTTTGTTAGTTTTTTCTTTGTGTTTGTATTGGTGTTTGTGATGGTGGTTAGGTTTGTTGTTAGGTTTTTGTTTTCGTTTGTATTTGTAATTGTGTTAGCGTTATGTTTACGTTTTGTTGTTTTGGTTGGTTGTGGTTTGGGTGGGCAATGCCGGGTTTATGGTGATTACTAAACACACAGGTAACGGTCTTTAACAGAAAGGTTTTTCACAGAAGCCAGAGCAGGGCCTGGCTGGGACGGCTAGTTAACAAATAAAATTTGTTTGGTAAACGTTGCTAATTACCAACGTGAAGCAGTAATAATTTTGTAGTGAAAATCGTCATAAGCGTACCAACGCGATGGCGGGTAAAAAGTACACGTGGTTCTAATTATCCGACCTGATAGAATTATTATCAATAGTAATAATCATGCCTTAAAGGTTAGACTGGTTTACACCTAGTTTTTTTTAAAATATACTACCTCAAATTATTTGATTGTCTTTATATTTCTTTATGTATATTAAACTTTCTCAAGCTTTGAATAAACACACAATTTTCTTTATAATCAATAAGGTTTTGTATCTTTGCTTCCGGCGGACTAACAACTACAAACAAAGAGCACTGTAGTCATACACAGATGGAGTTTGTGGTCATAATAAAAAAAAATGACCCAGTGGCGTAACAACCATGTGACCAAGGTGGACAAAGTCCACCAGGTCTAGGGTCCGCGAGCTTTTAAAGTAAATAAGTATCTAGAGACTCGATATTTTTAAATTTTATTTTTTTCTTATTTATTTTTAAGAATTGCTACCAAAACGGGAATCATCATACTGCAGAAAAAAAAATTAAATTTGCTATCAGACTACTATAACCCTAAAAATAATTGACGCTATCTAAAAGTGAATTTTGAAATTACTCTTATGCGTGAAAATTTGAAACCTCTATTACAAAAGTATGTTAGGAGTTTTGTTAGTTGATCATCGTTAAATTAATTTGGGGATCTTTTGCAGTAAGAACGCCGAGTGCACATTTCTTTTGAAGACATGTGTAGTGCATTTATTTATCACTTTGGTTTCCATAATCTTGTGTGACGGTTTACAAGTTAAGCTTGAATTATAATAATATATTAACATTTGGAAAAGACAGACATATTGGTAAAACAGCTTTTTTAAAATATTGCTTTTTTTTAAATAAAAAAGTTGAAATATGTAATTAAACATTTGAACGGAAATGTATTCAAGGGTGTAATTATTTCCCTTACTTTTGATCGCAGACCTTAAATCTTTTTGTATTTCATAATTGAAATTAAAAAATACTATACGATGATTAGAGAATCCTTTGTGTTGTTTTTTAGGATTAGTGTTATTGTGTATTTGTATTTTAAATGTGTTGTATGCAATGTGTTATTTTGAGTTATGTATCGTGTTCTGTTCTATTTTGCATTTCAAAATGAACTTTTAAATATTTAAAAAAATAAAATAATATATATATATATATATATATATATATATATATATATATATATATATATATATATATATATATATATAACACTTTTCCACGAATTATGACAAAATTAAAGTGTTTTATTATTATTATTTTGTATTTGCGCAGTTTTTCGATTACGCATTTTTCTGGGAACCCACTCACACACTCACAAGTAGACGCAATTTTGAGTGTGTGGCAAAGTAAAAGACACTTTTATCGGGATCTGTGTGTAATGGGGGTGACACGTCTTTAGAACTTTAATATAATGTTTAAGAATTTCGGCTGTGGGTTAATGATCATACACTTAACTTAAACATAATTTGCTCACGATTTTTACTCTTTACTGCATCATTAGTTTATAACTTTTCTTATTTTTGAAAACCAATTAGAGTGTCAATTTTTTTTTTTTTTTTGGCGACCTAATGGTCCGTCTGCAACTTGGTCTGACGGCCTTTTGCTCCATGTTACATTGAATATAGAATGGTACACAAACATGAGCGGAGAAGCAAATTTCTCACAATGAAACCGCAGCCAGAATAATTCAACGCCTTCACATTGAAGTCTACATTGAACCTTGGCAAGTCCACTGCGCCGGCAGATTACAACAAACGCTACTGATGAAAAGAAAATATTATTAAGTAGTTGAGAGCTGCATGCTGTGGAGGAGTCGACAACAACAGTTTGTGCGTGAAAATCGTCCTTAAATTGACTTTGTTGTGTCGGTCGTTTTGGAGCCAATGTTAATTGATACAGCACGTTTCTACAAGCAGAGGCGTAGCGACCCTTCCTGGCGCCCAGGGACAAACTTTTCGATTTGCACCCCCCCTCCACCAAACTTTCAATTTGCACGCCCCTCAACCCTTTAATTTATTTTTCCAACCCATTTTGGCGCCCCCTAAGGTCGGCGCCCGGGGACATATGTCCCCCCCCCTCGCTAAGCTACTGTCTACAAGTTCCGACTAACAGCTTTAATCACATAGACCGACCTGTTTTGCAAGCCGATATAATACTCATTATTATCGATGCTATATTAATATAGCCAAGCTTTAAAATGAACAAAAATCTCAAACTAAAACAAGCTTTATATAAATGTGAATATTAATATTGATTTTATTTCAATAAAGAAATT